TTATTAACGTTAACGTTCTCCGATGTTACCGATGTGAAACACGCATTCGTGGAATTTAGTAAGCGGCAGTTCGGTTTTAATTTTCCCCTAACGCGGCTAGCCGAAATTACGAGATTAAAGGAATCTCGTTAGATCCGAGAGGACTTTTCATCAGACACGTTCCACCGGAAACGCACCTTCGTAGGGAAACGTTTCCACGAGAGAGAGAAAAAGTACGCGTCTTACAGCCTTCATCCCTCACGGTTACCACATCGTGACTGCGTAATATACTTTGCATTCTTCCCTTTCGCTAAAGCATATCGGGGGATGTTCCTTCGTTCATTTGCGGCGCGCTTTACAACGCTTTAACAGGTACTTCTTTTTACACGCAAAGAGGTATATACGGTGGAATGGAGTGGATCGTGGGAGAAAGAGGGTGGAGGAAAAAAGAGACGGTGGGTGGAAGGTCGAATCTAATTAGGCTATCCCATTTTCCCTGGTAATTTGTAAGAGATAGGTGAACGTTCCGTTATTTTAATTCGTTCGGGGAAGCCTTTCCTAGATTCGTTTCCAAGGCGAATGGAGAAATTCCCCGCGGCTCGTTGCAGCGCGCGCGCCTCCACTTCGGTCTGCTTAATTCGTAACGCTCCCGCGTAACGCTTGATCTCGATTAAAAGAAGGAGGAAAAACGAATATGCGACGGAAGTTTTCATGGAATAACGCCTAATTTCGTTACCGTGAATAGGTAATAATAAAACCATCCGAGAAGCATCGATACGCGAGTTTTTTTTACAGAGGCAAGGAACAATACGTTTTACGCGAATTTTCACGACAACAAGGACGCTCGAAAGCCATTCTTTCGTCTTCCATAAAGAAAGGAACGTATACCGTAGGAGCGTTTCATCTTTCAACGCGAAGTCGTATAACAAGCTACTCAAAGGGGCCAGAGGAATGCGTAAGAGAAATATGCAACAACCTATAACCTTCGATACTTCTCTCTGCACATCGTCAATTTCTTTTCCTCCCGTTGTCTACATCGGTGAATTCCTCCACGAGCATCCTGTCCTTCTCTCTACTCCCCCCCTCTGTTATTACTTGTTATCGATTAATCAGGGGGCCGGCTGATAGCAGATGTTTCGATTAGACGGAACAGATATAACGCGTGCATCGTAAAAAAAAAGTATTCCATTTCAATGAGTTAGTGGGGAAAAAATCATTCGCGACGCATTTATCTTCTGTTAGGTCGTAAAAAACGTGGAAAAAAAAATCGAACACCACGTTTACGTATGGGGAGGGTTTAATTGATATCGCTCCATAAATTTCACGGTTTCTCCTATCTAACCGAAATACAACCTTTCGGCACTATATAAAAATTTTCAGAGAAACTTTCATTTCAACGACTCTTCTATCACTTTTCACCGATCTGTGTATGTGTGCATCGTTCTACAATACCATTTCTATCTTTTTTATTTTTCTCACCGCGAAGTCAGGAGATACTTCAATTCTGACCGCGTTCGTGTCACTTTTCACCACGTGGCCGCCCTCGTGTTTCGTTTTTATCCTATCGTTTCTTTTTTTTTTTTTTGTTATTTCTCCTTTTTGCTTCTTCCCTGGCAGTTTCCCGTTCGACTGGCTCGCGATAATTGTTCCAACGGATCCTCGTTTCGGTCCGGCAAGGATCGCCGGTGCGAGCAGAATATCTCGCGAAGCGCGTCGAAAATCCCGAAGATCGAGCGACTGTTGGATACATACTTGGAATTCGAGTACATATCGGTATTCGACGATAGCTATCGTCTCCTAAACTGAAGCTAGGCGTGCTTTCTTCGAGGTATTCCGATTGTTCGCGCTCACAATGCGACTTGTTGGTGGCGCGTTCCGAATCGCGACATCGCGTTTCACGCGTTTCCTCTCTCTCTCTCTCTCTCTCTCCTCGCTGTCCTTCAAAATCGAATCCTTCCGATCCACGGAACATCTTATTTCTTCGCATTCTTCGTCGTGTCCCCGACACCACATGAGAATTCCTACGTTCTGTCGCTGTAAAATAACGCATAACGAAATTTCCGTTCGTTCGTTTTTCGAGGTGCTGCGATGATTTCTCGTCGCTTCACGGACGGATGAAATTATCGGCGGTGAAGCTGAATTAATTACGCTTCGGTGAAAAAAAATTCGTGTATCAGTTTCGGTTAGAACTCGAAACGAAGAATTTAT